GAAGTAAAATTGTCCTCCACGAAGTAAAATTGTCCTCCACGTCTTCCATAGATGGTCAGTGTTCTTCATTATCAGCTGATATTCAGTCAGTAGTTCTTGAAAGTAACAATCTCATGGTGATTCTCAGCTAAACCAGGCATTATATGTTTTGTTTTCATTGTTCATTCAAGACATAAGTCTATTCCAAAACGTTGGATTCCATAATGTTCTTTTGGAATGGGCTGCCAGCACGCTTGTCCATGAAAAGGACTGCTTTTCTGCTCCTGCTACAGGCCTACACCTGCTAGAGAGGGTGCCTTTTCCACCTCTGTCATTTTGTTTTTGTCCTCTTTTTTCCCAGTCTTTTATTTTTAATTAGTCTCTGGTTAAGTTTGCCTTGGTTGCTCAGTAGTGGTTTGCTCACAGTATTCAGGGAGTCTCATGATGACTAATGGCAGGAACGTGAGAGCAATTTCCCAATGACAGACAACACAGATTTGAAGGAAAATCCTATTTTAATCAAACCTGGATAAATTCTGAAACCTAATCCATATGAGTTTATTAAAAGTTCATGTAAGTGGATCTCAAAACATTCCAGTTAGTACTTGAAGATCGAAGGTCCACTGATTTATTTTCCTAAATATCATGATTGGACCATTTTGAGTGCAATTGTGAATGCAAGTTTCTCAGTTCATCACTAACATGTTTTCCATGGAAACTGCACAAACTGATAATAAACTTATAAATTGTAAAGTGGGCTGTGTAATGCTGAGTTACACATTAGTTGCATAATAATTTAATCTTCTTTATCCACTACGAAGTCTTTAAAAAATAATTATGAATTACCAGTTTTACTCATATTCAAAATAATTGGCTGTTTTTTGGAGAAGTTTATCTTAAAAAGTGTTTTATCGGCTCTACAACGCAATTCACATGTTAATTACTATTATTAATATTTCGAGCATGAAAGAGGATATCGATGCAAATTTCAGAGGTTATTTCAAAGGAAACTTGTCTGCCACCATATGTGCATTTATGCTTCTTCTCCAGAATACTTTTCCCTCATAAATGTCCCCCACTCCACAAGAACCCAGGGGTGGTCACCATTCGCAGGGCAGGGCTGGGAACTAGAAACTGGCCAGTGTGATGACCTTTGATATTAATTTTTAGAATAGCATTGGATAAGTCCATTTATACCCCATAACAATTTTTCCATTCTTAAAATGCAAAGACTAAGTGTCAGGGAAATATCACAAGATAAAGCAGCCCTGGCATTAAATAATCCAACTCAAATTAAAGTATGAGTGCCTCTGTTGTGAGGCAGAATATAAATGAGAAGTAGAAGGAATATCCTTTTTAAGTGGTGTATTCTATAAAGACCATTTGACAATTTAATAATTCAATAAAATTATTAAATTACACACATTATTAAAAGTTCTGTAATTAATATAATGCAGTGGTGACTTCTGTTTGATAGATTTTGAAAAAAACTGATTTCTGCATAAATTTTACAGACAGAATTTTTTTCCTGGGCATGTATGCTCTCTCCAGAAGCTATAAAATAATGTACTTTATTTATTTATTTTTTATTTTTTGTCTTTTGTCTTTTTCCGTGTCC